GTGATGGAGAACAAGAAGTAACAGGAGTGCTGTCTGTCACGGGGTCCAGACCCTCCAGTTCTTGGCTTTGTGGTCTTTTCTATAGTTTGCTAAATTTGTAATGAGGTTTCTTGTTGCATGGACGGAGGAGGAGCCGTTAGAGGTTGTCTCACTGTTTGCACTTGGGAATCCCATCTCTGCCACCAGACCTGCCTCAGGAAAGCTCTTTGGTGACTTACTCGCTGATGAGTGGTGGCTTTCGAGGGGGCAGTTGTGGAGAATTTATGTCTGGAGTTTTCTGCCTGTTCAATATAATTTTCATATGATTAAAAATGTTCAAATTTTTTGGTGTATATTTGTTAACATACCTAAAACTTAACGCTGTGTTTCAGAATGTGACCAGTCCCACCACCTCTTTTACGGACCTGGCAGAAATCGTGTCCAGGATCGAGCCCGTGAAGGCACCCGTGGCGGACGGTGAGTGGGGCGATCCGACTGGTGCTGCGGAAGCATTGGGAAGGGCAGCGAGGCAGGGATGGCTGCGGGCTCCTCCTGTGTGCCTTCTCCAGCTGTTTTCTTCTAACACCCCGTGCTCCAAGCTGTGATGGTTCAGGGCTGGCTGTCGGCTCCGGTGTCTGCTGAGCAAAGCCGGCGGTGACGGGCTGTCCCCCCACCTTCATCCAGAGCCTCTGCCTGCAGCTGTGCCCCCGCTCGCCCCGGCCAGACCCTCCTGCTCCCTCCTCCAGGAGAGAGTGGGAGTCGGGTGTTCCTGCTGCGGTGAGACACCCACTACCAGCCCATTACTGGTGTGGTCCAGCGTGGTTTCCTGGTGGGAGCGATCCCTACTTGAGTTAGCCTAATCGGAGTGAAATAACACATGTGGCAACTCCTGCAAAGACAAAGGTTTTCGTTCCCCGTGTGCTGCCCCGGGTCCTTGCAATGCCTTCGCTCTTTGCTCCGTGGCCTTTTGAGGCGGGAGGAGGATGATTTGAAGCTATCAGGATGATTTGAAGCTATCAACTGAAGGATATTTTTCCCTGCTGTCGTGAGTGGATCTGGAGTGACTCACTGGCTCCGTCGCTTTTTGTACGCTCCCGTTTCGGGGAGCGCTGGTGAAGCAAAGAGGGACAGGTAAGAGCTCCTGCCTCTCAGCCGTGCCCTGGCAGCCAATCCCCAGTAAACGCCCCTTGACATGATGGATCAGAGCTTCGCAGGCCTGAAATCCCCGAGCGTTTCACCGGTGCAAGAGCTCTTCATCAACAGTCTCCCCCTCTTCCTCCCGATTCCTTGCTCTTGCGGAGGGAAATCTAAAGTTAGCAGCCCTCCCATCTGTGACTGTTTGCGGAGATGTCCCTGCGGTGATTTGAAATGCTAATTGGGATCATATGCCCGACGGAGAAAATATTAATCAAACGTGGTTGAAACAGCCATTGTGAATAGGAATGAAGAGTTCATGTAACGCGGTTATTTAAGGCACAGGCACTGAGACCTGCCAAGATTTAACCGGTGCACTGGGACGGATCTTCCTCCTTTATATAGTTTCTGATTATTCGCCCCCGTTAGGAAAAGCTGCTTTTCTGCTGGGCGAACACGAGCGTAACAAAGGGACACGTCTTTCGGCAAGCAGATACAGCAGAAGTTGGGCTGAGGAGGGGCCTGTGCATGGGGTGCTTGGGACAGGTGGGCAGGTGCCACGTGCTCCTTGCGGGTGCTGGAAGCTGTTGGTTGTAGAGACTCCAGAGGAGGGGGGAGGATGGCAGGAGAGTCGTGCATGTGGGTGCTGTGTCTTGAAGGACCTTTTGTATTCATGTCGTGGGCGACTCCACGTGCCGCTTGCAGGGATGTTGCCTGTTTTTTGGTGGGCAGTGGCTGTAAAGGCATTACTCTGAGCACGGCATCGCCCCGGAGCCTCCGGGATGGCATCGCTTTGGCTAAAGAGGTATCTGGAGCTATCGGGGGAAGCGATGTGTACCCAGGTGAGCTCAGATGGAGGGTGACCACTCCCTGGCAGTGGCCTTGCGGCTGTCAGATGGTTCCTCGTACGTGCTGGTGAGCCTTTGGGTTTGTCTGCTAGGGATGGTGGTAAGGATGGTCTGACTGCTTTTGTCCCATGTGAGTAAGAAGACAAGGTGCTTCTTGGTAGCCTGGCTGTGAAACGGTACTGTCAAAGAGGGTGAAACCTTTCTTCTCCCTGGAAATCCCTTCCTGAGTGAGGTCTTGGACCACAGGGATTTAGAAAGGCTCTGCCTGTCCTGACAGCGTACTGCAAGTCTCAGGCTGGGTGGAGAAATGAGGTCAATGGTTTTGTTCTAAAGAAAGAAAATGGCAATGATCATATTCTGATCCACTGGGAGAAGGGGGAAGTGTCAGTACAAAGGGTGAAAGCCCTGATGGGCAGAGGCTGATGGAGCCTCCATGTCAGAAGCTGTATCTTCTTTAGGGACAAAAGGCAGTTGAGGTTCTTCTCTGCTCTTGAGCAAACTGAGCAATGATTGAAACAACAACAAAAAAAGAAAACCAAAACAAAAACTAACCCAACAAAAAACCCACCCACACACAAAAAACAAGACTGTCCCTCAGGAAGAGCTGAGCAGGGGGCAGCTGGTGGAAGCCCTGTGCTGGAGCCAGGGTGCCTGTACTGCTGGAGAGCCGGTGGGGAAGCGCCTGTAGGAGCACAGCAGCTCCCGTGCACAGGGGAGCCGCTGCAGGGTTTGTGGCCGTGCTTCTGTCCTGCATCCCAACGCTTCCTCACTTGGCACGTGCTGTCTTTGTTCACCTGTCACTGCATTTTTATGGAGCTGCGGCCGTGGCCAGGGCAGCACAGATGCCAGCCTCCACGGGTGGCCCAGCCACGTCTCTGCTCCCGCTCCCGCGGGGTTTCCGAGGACGGAAGCTGCGCAGGCTCTCGGGTCGTTTCCCACAGCAGGTTGCACGTCCCGCTTGTGGAAGCAGCGATGCTGCGGGCGTCCCCACGGCCAGGTGCCACGGTGTGCGGCGGGGCGGCGCGCTCGCTGTGCGCGGTGGCCGGAGGAGACCGAGTCACGCAGCGGAGCAGTTGTAGCAACAGCCACTTAGAGAAAAATACTCGGGAGAGAGAGAGACATGTTGATTGTGGTGTGAACTGTCTGGGTTTGCAGTACAGCTGGAGCAGGAGACATCCCAAAACCTCTCAAGGGACACAGTTACTGGGCACTATGTGTCCCTGCCCATGGCAGGGGGGTTGGAACTAGGTGGTCTTTGAGGTCCCTTCCAACCCAAACCCTTCTATGATTCGATGATTCTATGATCTTTGCTGCTTAAAAAGTACTTTTCTCAAGAAGCACTAACGCATCTCAGGCTGTGATGAGTTACCAGATTCTCTGATTCACATCAAAGTCTGTTGGTGCTACCAAAGCAGAAACCTTCTGGCCACACAGGACCAGTTTTCTTCAAATGTGGTGTGTTGCCTGCAGAAACCAGGCTAGAAGAGAAAAGCTACAGAATTGCAAAGGGTGTGTAGTGATAAGACAAGGGGCAATGGCTTTAAACTGACAGAGGGGAGATTTCGATTAGATCTAAGGAAGAAATTCTTCACTGAGAGGG